TGAAATACAAGAACGGCGGCACACTGCCCACTTGGGGAAGAGTGAGTGCGGGGGAGGTATTGTTGACAATGATTGCATAGCTCGTCTACCTCTACCCTACTCTGTTGAGATGCTGCCCCTTTCTAATTCCCCCGTGTCGGTCTTGCTTCTTCTCCTAGATTTTTTTTATACTTTTAACGTTTCTCCCCCCGTTTTGTTGTATCTTTTTTCTTTTTACTTTTCTTTTGACCCCTTTTCTTTTCTTTTGACTCCTGTCTCGACAGGCTATAAGAAGACACCGAACATGTGTAAATATTATTATGCCTTGAATAAGACGGAACTCCCATCGAAACGTCGGCAGAATAAACGGTTATGTGAAAGCGCATCTACTTTCATATTTGTAACCTTGCGGCAACCGAAGTTATTCTTCTGTATGTATGTGTGTATATATATATATATATATATATATATATATATATATATATCTATACACACACACACGAACGTACGAAATCTATATACTTGGATGAGGTAAAAAATACCTCATCCAAGTATTTTTTACGTCAACACGCTCAGTCAAGCCACCTCAGCGCCTTGCGTACGATGCAAACATTCAGCAGCTAGTATAAACTCTTTTGTAAAACTTTTGTATTGGCAGAAGGATGTATCAGGCACGTGTTATTCCCCTACAACCGATATGGCACCGCACATGCGCAGTGTACATCTACCAAGGTATAAATACGGCGCATGCAATAAAACGAGTCATTCTTGTTCTGCACCTTGCTGTTGCCTCCGTCATTTATCAACACGATACAATTTGGACAATGATTAACATAAATGCAGGTGATGTTTTTTTTTTTTTTTCGAAATTTATACCGTGGCGAAGTATAAAGAATACTCACGAGGTTGCATATACATTTTTATTGTAAAAGAATATTGTCATCAACCGAGTACACCAATTTCGCTAAATAAGTGCGCTGTAAGTGCACAAAGAATCGACTGCAAAACGAACCGACAAAGTTCTCAATGGCTATGATAAATTGATAAAGGAGTTTTAGGTAGTTCTATTTATTTTTCAAACAACCTAACAATCATTGTTTTTGTACCAGCCTCGCTATGCAACTGCAGAAAAAAAGAAGCAACGAAGAAAATGAAAACATGACTGTGATAACCTGCGGTCTGAAAGTGGGACGTACCCACAGGAAGAGCCACAATGCGTGAATCGGCTGTAACCTGTACAAGCGAAAATAGAAGGGCGCGTGCGCCTCGCTGTATCGAAAGCATGGCGAACACACCAGGTCACAAAAAACTGGAAGCGAAGGCTTCACTAATATCACGATAGTTATAACGCGAGAATAGAACGACGACAAAGAGACAAGAAGGGCACAAGTGCTAGCTTTCAACTGAGTTTATTGCGCAGAGCGCGAAAACATATAGAGGAGACAATAAACCATGTGACAAAAACTATGTGGCACAAAGAAAGAGCAATGCATGAGTAAAGAAAAAACAAATGCAGAGAAAAAGGCGAAGAAAAGTCTATAAAGAAACGAAACATAAAAGTAGAAGTGATGTAACTACTTGCGCGCACCGAACCTTTTGAGGAACCTTAGTTCTTTCTCGGGCAAAGACACGGAGGGCTTGCTAATGCATGACACCCGTTCGCGTGCCATCTGCACGGCCTTGACCGTAACTCCGGTGTGCTGCATCTCTGTGCTTACACAGCGTCACTGTACCCTTGAAAAGGGGCTCACAGTTACACTCAGTGCAATGCTGAGCAAGAAAATCATCTTTCCCGTTTCTTGCATTTCTAACAGGGATGAGCGCACCCGAGTTAACGTCGAGGTCGCGCAGATGGCACGCGAACTGGTGTTATGCATTATCAAGCCCTCCGTGTCTTTTCCCGAGAAGGAACTAAGGTTCCTCGAAAGGTTCGGTGCGTGCATGTAGTTATATTACTTTTACTTTTCTGTTTCGTTTTCTTTTAGACTTTTCTTTGCCTTTTTCTTTGCTTTGTGTGTTTTTTTTTTTCTCCTTTTTCGTGTATTGCTCTTTGTGCCACATGATTTACTGTCTCCTCTACATGTTTTCGCGCTCTGCGCAATAAACTCAATTGGGAGGTAGCGATAGTTATAGATCGTTAGAAGGACACGAAGCGCTCGTGTCCTTCTTTTCTCTGTGTCGTCGTTCTGTTCTCGCGCTATAACTATCGTCATGTCATACCAACTAGCCCAAGCTGCCACACTTCATGAAAGTTAGCGCTCGTGCCCTTCTTGTCTCTTTGTCGTCGTTCTGTTCTCGCGCTATAACTATCATCATGTCATACCAACTAGCCCAAACTGCCACACTTCTCTAATAGGTTAGTAATGAGTACAACACCTGAAAAGTCACGGCCTCTGATTGAGCGAAACGAATGTACGAAATCTATAACTTCAACACAAAACCGTGCGCATAGATGACAAAGCACGAAAGGAGGATTGGATCTAAAAACAAAACACGGTAAACATTCTAAAGAAACCCTTAACGCCATTAGAAACACCACATGGAAATATGTAAATGACCGCAAAGTCCACAATGCAAATTTAAGAACTCTGCCGCGCGAACACACACAGTGGGCTCCCTCCCGCATTAATTATTACTTGTTCGGGAATATCTGACACGTGATTCACATTGCAAGGACCACTGTCGCAGCTCTGGCGTGGACGATGATTAAATGCTCATGTTAACGCAGCGTGTTTTCCAGAAAGTTCACTGCTCGACATGATAAGAAATCTAACGAAAGATATACTACCATACGCTTGCAAATATCCGAAAGCGACAGCTTGAATACATATATCAAATCTGCTCTCGCATGAATCATACCACGCGCCGCAAACCCACTTTGATTAATTTGAGTTGTCTTCATACGTTGAGATATGTGGTAGTAACGACTCTGAATTGTATGCTGAATTGTATAGAAATGGTTCATAATTTTTTTTATTGCACATTTACATTTCTTACACAAAACTTTTTTATGTTGCGGTTTTATGGGGGGACTATTGTTACGAACATTTCGTTTATTTTTGAGCAAGTGCAAGATAAGTTGAAGAAAAAGCTCATATAACAGTTAAAAAAAATTATGCCGCAATAAACATACCTCACTTATGTACAAATATAAGTATACAAAGTGGCATCAAATGGAAACACTTTCGAAGGCAGAAAAGTCGCCTTCGATCCAGTCAGCATCATCTGGGCGTGCACACTTTTGTGATGTTGTTTCATTCATTAAGAACCGAGTCTCAACTCGCAAGTAGCACCTCATATGATGGACTGACATTCAGCGAATCAGATTTTGAATCAGTAGTCAAAAGGTAACTTGAAAGAATCGTCACTCAACTCACTTGCAGCAGAGCAACTGGCACTGACATTTATAGGCCCAAGAGAACTGAGCAGGTGAGCATACTGGCGAAAACTGTGTGGTTGTGCAAGTGTCCAGAAGTGAGGAACCAGTAGTAATCTTTCACCGTGTTGCCAATGAGACAGAGGTGCTTTTTCTGAATGTCCAAAAAGGAGTTGCAACCACAGCGACATTGCGTGCCTAAGTCAGCACCTGCACAGACACAGGCGTAATCCTGCCCTGAAGAGCAATGGAAAAGCTAAAGTTTCATCGCAAGAGAAACCAGTGTACGTAAGGGAAAGTGTACACAACGTGCTTGAGTTGTCTCGGTTTCTGTGAACTAGAAGTGCAGAAAGCCCTGTAGCACAATGTGCCAACGATAGTGCAAGCTGATGTACAGCTTCCATACTTCCCAATCGGCACGCCAAGCAAGCTCACATCGTAAAGCGAACTCAATACTCGTGGCCTCGACATCAAAGCAACACGACTTTCGCTACTCACAAGCCACTTACATACATCTCGCACCTTGTCCCTTCCTGTGATGAGTGTTAGCCAAAGGGACCACCACGTGCTTTGCAATGAAGTGGCAACGAAGAAACGCAGAAAGCGTTCTGAAAGCCAACTTCAAATTTTTTTTTTAACCATAAAGTGGTCTATCAAACGCTACATCGCGAGAAGTTTTTTGGACCACATCAGTACGAAAAATGCACTCAAATATGAGACAAGTCGCATATTTCTGCCATATTCAAATATTTTTCCCAGGAAGATTTGAAGTCTATTTCCACCCTAGACATTTTTGTACGAAAGTAAGCTTTCCTGAAAACTACAACTAATATGAAGATTTCTTAGAGAGAATTCCAGCTAGCATAAAAAAATAGCGAACTTTGAAGACTTTTGTGGTTTTTGAAAAAAATTAACTGCTAGATAAATGCAGACATTTCTGAATGCTTTAGTAGCACAACTAAACAGAACCCCTTTAGTAGCTCAAGCACTCTTTCAAAGTTCCGCAAAAAAATATCATTTTATATACATTTTTCTATTGTGCACACTTTGGCAAAAGCAAGCTAACTTTGAAGGGGTGCCACAGTCTTCAAAAATATTGTTCGAGCAAAAATGTTTGGCCGCAATTCTCCTTGAGGTATACGAAAAGAGTGTAAATTTTATCGGCAGAATCCATAATGGTTGAGCGCCACGTCTGGGACACTTGGCATGAAATGACCCATATATATATATATCTCAGTGAAAGTAATAATTTAATATGGGCCAATTGTTTTTGTTAAGATATGGGTTTAAAACAGAAAGGGAGAGTCATCCGCAATGATATATATTTTCCAACAATTTCGCGAGAAAGCTCCCTTTGTCAGGAAATGAGTTGAACTAGCGTCGACATATGCTTACATTCGTGAAGCTCAAAAGCATTTTTTTTTTCAACGAACATTTATGCTTCATAACTATTGGAAATCTAAATGTCTGCCATTTCATTTTTTAAGAATCCCATAATTTTGCAAATAAATATGGCACCTGGCATCTAAATTGAGCCTAATGTGAAAATCAATGTCAACGACAGAAACATTGATGCGACACATTTCTGGATAATGAAAGATAATGAAACTCGGCTCTCCCCCAACGCCAGCTTAGAGTATTACATACCTGTGAAGCAGGCCGTGTACCATGCAGTTCCAACTTTATTAGTGCAATGATCGAGGCCTCCATTGAATCTGCATGGTGCAACATCCACATAAATGCAATCAGAACTGTTTGCAACTATGACCTACACAAGCAAGCACACAAAAAGTCATTATCGATATCATCAATGATCATTGCGAGCATTTCCGAACGCATGCCAGAATTCACACTCTGTGCTGCCAACCTTTAGGCACGTCATCAAGTTCGAAAAAGTTCACTGTTTCCGTCCAAGTTATATTAATTATGCTTTCGGCTTGTAGTGCTTCAGTAAATTTAATATTTATAACAATGAAATGTTAAAAATGTGAACAATAAGACTTAATGTCCAAATGAACCAAAATAGGTGCTGCACCAACAGTCATAACTATTAAATTCGAGGTGCAATTCGAACACGACGTGGGAGATACGTAGTGAGAATACTACCTTGTACATCCAACCTCCACAATCACCACACCTCTAAGCTAAGGCACGCTATCACAAAGAGATTAAAAAAGTTAATAGTTAGCAGATTCATTTTGCATACAATTAGCCATGGTACGCAAAGTTACAGTTCGATTTCAATAATTCTGCTTGAATGCACAGCCTATGAAAAAAACAGTAAAAAAAACCTTTCATGATGACCTATTCATTAGTTTCTTCAAAAAAATAGCTTTGAAGACTTCAACCGAACTGTCTATATACCGTATTTACTCACATGATCCTCGCACTTTTTTGGACAGAAAACCGATGCCAAGTTGGGGGGTGCGAGAATTACGCGGGGAAAACTTTCCACAAAAACGTACAGAGCGAAAAAGAAAACGAAGAGGCTGCAAGCCAGGATTCTCACACCAGAACAATAAAAGGACAGGTTCAACACAAGGCTACATTTATTTGAGACACAAAAGGCACAATGAAATACCTGAGAATTAGAATACCGTACGCAAAGCTTGTGGACGTAGCGGTAGCGTTCGTCGCTCAACAGGAGTCGACAAAAGGTAAGCGAAGGACGTCAGTATTGGGCTGATGGCCATTTAACAGAATCGTCCACAGTTACCTTCTGAAGAAATAAAGTTTACCATCAATCCCAATCTTAGGAGCACAGAAGGCCCCACATGTCTTGGTGGCTTTCAGCTGCTGTCACCAGTAGCGAACACAAAACTCATCTATTCCGAAGGGCCTACTGGAGGCCCTGTTGCCGTTGTTTAGTGCATGATTAATCACTTTCAACTTGAAAGCAGCTGTGTAGCTTCCATATCGCCTCATAACGTAACAAGATTACATACACATCATACAAATCACGCCGCAACGCACACTAGCCACTTTGGCTTGTATTGGATTGGATTGAATTTCGGTGCAATAATAGTACGCTCTATGCTTAAGAGATGGGGCCAGACAGCGCATGCTATCATCATCAGTGGCTGGAACGAGCAGACAACATTATTGCGGCAAATTTCAGGGGTGCGATAATTACTTGAGGAAAAAAAATTTATTTTTGTCGAGCGATATCGGGGATGCAAGAATTTTCGAGTGCGAAGATTACGCGAGTAAATACGGTAGTAAAGAAACGGTCGACATGTCTGAAATTCAACAGCATCATAACTTGGGATATACTTTGAAGCAGTGTATTCTCCTTCTAACTAAATACATTAAATATTACCGTAATTACTCGATTTTACCGCGCCCTCGATTGTAACACGCACCCGGTTTCTACGACGAAAAAAAGAAGTAAGACATCGATTGCAAAGCACACCCATTTTTCTCGTTGGCCCGCACGATCACACCACTCGGCAAAACGACTCCTTTCGCGAGCGTCTTCCGTTTAAATATGAGGTACGGGGAAGCTTGGGCCTATCTGATGTGCAACGAAGCATTGCCGTCACTCTAGTTTTACCGTGGCCCGATGTCAGCACACGAACTTGCTTCGCCCCCTTCTTCTCGACGGTTGTGGTGCCAGGCATGTCGAAGTAAAGAGGCGTCTGATCAGCATTCCCGATTTGCCCAAGCAGGTAGCCGTTGTTGTGCCGCAAGTTTAGGACGAACCTCTGAAAACTGTGAAGCTTTTCTTTCGTACTTTTCCGGCAAATTTTGGCATATGCCCGTTCGCCTTCGGAAGGAAAAGCTTTTCCTCTTCATATAGTTAGGTAGCCAGCACCTGCTCGCTTTAAACTGGCTCCGCATTAGCCCTTTTTCTAAGGCTAACTGCATAGCCTGCACTTGGAGCAGTTCTGTCGTCACGGGCCGCTCACTGCTCAATCATATACTCGCCGAGCAGCTCTTCAATTCGCGGAAACCGACCCTGCTATGGTCCACTGAAGCCTTTGCGTGAATGTTTGCTGTCGACAATATTCTGCTTTTGTTTCCGCCAGTCCCGCACGCACGTTTCGGGAACTCCGAACGACCGCGATGCGGCCCGATTTTCGTCCATTTTTGCACACGCGATGACTTTTAAAAGCGACATCGTGGTGCACTCGAGTTTTTGGAGACGGCCCTTCCATGCTGTCGGTGCTAATGCACTACAAGATGACAAATTCCTCAGCACATGTACGAAGTGGTGCACATGGGAAACACATAGGCAGAAATGGCCGACGCGCCATGCCCGATGCACATAGGGGGCGGCCATTTTGGAAATGCCGATGGCAATAGAATGACCGTATTCCTTTTTTTTTTTCGTACTCGATTCTAACGCACATGCGATTTATGAACTCGCTAAACCGAAAAAAAGGTGTGCGTTAGATTCGAGTAATTACGGTAACTAATGTCTTAGCAACAAGGGCGCATTTCTCCCCTTGTGGGAATGTGAAAAGAGAGATGCGACTTTATTATATAAAAGAAAAAAATTCCCGGCGAGTTATTCAGGAATCTGGGCAAATATCACCGCCTAGGTGTGAGCTACCTCGACTCGCGGGATGGCTCGCAATTGCTCGTCGAGGGCACTCTCCCAGCACATTCAGTTCAAGGCTGCGTCCCTGTCTGGAGCCCCACCTCCACTACACTACCGTGACATATGTTCCAGGGTTGCCCTGGCCTCGAAAAACTTTCAGTGTGGCGAATTAAGCTCTGGGTAACAGAAAATTCAAGATACCGGATTCAGAAACATTTTCGTCAGCCGTTGTCACTCCGTGACCGCCTGCTTTTTGTTCAGTTCTTAATGTGGTGACAGAAATTTGCACCTGGCGAGTCTGTAATGCTGTGCAATATCCTTAAAACTAGTGAGGCAATCCTCCCACACCGAATGCTCACCCTACGCTCTTCTGCTTACTGTCGGCACTCCAGTTTCACTAATGTTGCTGCAAAAGGGCTGCCGATTGCGTGGCAACGGCCGCGAAAAATGATAATGCAAAAAAAAAAGAAACTCCAAGCCTGCGCGGGAGGAGCAGCATAGTCACAGCGAACGCTAGAAGAACGGCCTTAAAGAGCCTTTTCTATACATTCTGGGGATTGCTGCAAGCACACTTGCTGGGTACCCACTAAAACATTAGCAATAATTTCTGGATGGTAGGCCAGCATTCGCTATGCTATCCTTGGTCATTCTTCTGAGAAACGCGGTATCGGCTAAACACGTAAAAGGAATGTTGTGCTAATTGTTTATGCAGTGGCTGACGACGATGAAGAATTATGCCTGAAGTGGGTATGTGCCACAGTTAATAGGTGATCAAGAACAAGGTTTTGCAATGGGTTGGAGCATTGGTGACCCACTCATTATGCTATTCACATAGTGCAATGCCTGGTTCTTTTGCTGTCCACTTTATTACTGATATTAACACAATTATTCTTCCGACATCAAGCCCAGCCAAGGCAAGTTTGGAAACAAGTCCCAAGCACCGGCATGGCTCGGTGGTAGAATAGTACTAGGCTGGCACGCAGCGGACTCGGGTTCGATACTGAGGTTTTTTTTTTTTCTTATTTCGTGCGATAGTGGTTACGGACACCGGCAGCGGACAGCTACGGCGCTGCGCGTAACCCAAGTTGTGTTCTCATAACAGCTTTTGTTGAAAAAAGAATTCCCACAAAAATAAAAATAAATATAGGACATGTGTATCAAAATCTCCCGTCAGCATCACCTAGATATAATAATAATACAAGCATGGCCTGTGCATAACGGCAGGCTATATAACAGGCGATATCTCAGCTGCTACATACCCTGATGGGTCACGGCATTGGGCTGGTGCGTTGAAGTGAATTCATACCACTGCTAGCGGTCACTGACAAGCTCTCTCTTTGCAACAAAATAGCGGAAAAGCGGTACACTTTCCACTTTATCTCTATCAGCGACCGCTGCAAATCAGCCGATGTAGAGTTCGAGGCTGTTTGACGTGCGCTCTTCGAACTCGTATTACTCATGATCGTACATTTACAACAACGTGCAAAAGATAAGGTAACGCCCGAGACACTCTCACTAGAAAACTCTATACTGAGAAAAAAGAATCTATTAAAAAAGGATGTGCTGAAGAAAAACTGAACTCAGGGATGCAACTGCTGAAATAAAATTTGGAGCAGTTTTTGGAGCAGCAAAAGTTTACTTTTGAAGCACTAAAATGCAAATTTAGAGCAAGTTCCGGACAAAAAACCATTCAATTTTTGTCACAAAAGACCAAATTTGGAGCAGTATAAAAAGAGAAGGTTCACATCTAGAAAACAAAAAGAGTATGTACAAACTATTCAACATCCTCTGAATCGTGCAGAGTAAAGATGAGCACTGCTATTTCAATAAAACTAGTATTTCTAACCACGCCACAGAGCAAAAAATGGTAAATCCACATTAGCATTCTCCGCATCTTTCAAATACTTTAAATTTAAATGTGAATCTGCCAAGTTGGCAATCTTGAATATCAGGGGATTAGTGAAAGTGAGGAGTAGGGGGCGAAAAAAAAAAAAAGAGGGCGCATTTTTTTTTTAAGTTGCAAACAATGTCATACACTGCTCCAAATGCTTGCCCATAACATTTTCAGAAATCAGCAATCATACTAGTACTCACAGTTTTGATGCGTATACACGTATGAGTAAGTGAACAAAATGAGCTGCGTCTTGCGACTAGTGCTAAGAGCCCTTAGAAAACATTACGCTTTTCTGCAGGACGCTGGCGTACTGTGACGAACGTAACTTAAACAGCGTTCTGCACGAGTTAGAGCAAGGCCATGAAGTTTTCTAACACCGCTAAAATCCCTCCTTTCTTTTTTTCCCCCCACGATGAAGTTAGGTTGAGGACGCAACATCTCAGCTCACTTGCAAGACACATTTTACCAGATAAAGTAACAGCATGCGCTCGTCGATGTGGCGACAGTATTGTATATTTATCGCCGCGCGATGCAACTAATGCAACTTAAAGACAGAAAAAAGTTTCGGGTGGCTCAGTTATGGCGAACGACACGGTCGCCCGAAACGCTGGTGTTAGCAGCACGCCTATTCTGCTCGCGCGCGAAAAACTCTATACGCGCTTTCAGCTATAACTGCTAACATGCCATAGCCACGTTTGCTGACAAGGAGGTTCATATTTCCCGCGAATTGTTGGTGTCTATGGCAATGTATTTTTGTCTAGAAGTTGCGTCGTCCAACCAATAGGTATTTGCTGTGGTCAGCGAACCGATGGGGTGCACCTTTGTTACTTTAGCTAATCAATAGCGTCTTGCGAGTGCCCTAAACCTATGGGAATGTTTGACACCGCAGTTCAGGGCTAGGGTCTGCGCACTTAGATTGATGGCGCAAACTGCAGGTGACCAAAGTGGCTTCAATTTCTCGCTGAAATTCGTGCAACTAAGCAAATTTTGGGGCTAGTGAGGAATTTTGGTGCAGGGTGGTGCAATTTCAGTAAATTTCATGGTTTTGGTGCAGCTCGGCACGGAAATGACGGTTTGTATCAAATTGGCGCAATTGGCCCAGCTGTTGCACCCTTGATTACTGCTTACCCATTTTATAATCAAGAAGAATATGTAGTTTGATGTCTCGCTGCCGCTGTTTGTGTAACCGCTCCCTCGAAACTCGCAGTCTTCCTTCAAGCTCTGCAATCTTGCCCTTTGCTTCCTGGAACCGCCTGCAAGGCACTAGTTCATCTTCTTCATCAGTCCCAGAGTCCAAATCCTCCCTGCGTCTTTTCCCTAATATCTTGCCTTTTCCAGGTTTCTTCAGCAATTTTGAGTGGTGGCATATTTGTTTTGTATCCTAGTAAAAAAAAAATATATTAAGAGCAAAGTTATGTGCACAAAATCTGTGTTAGCCCGCTTTGAAAATGTCAAAGCGTCGTTGCTGTCAACTACTCCGTTAAGACACAAGTATGCAAATTACAGGTGAGACCCATCTAGTACTTTTTTTTATTTAGTCATACTATTAACCCTCACTTAATTGAGGATCGTTACAAGGAGGATGAAGTATTGAGTCGCTCAAAATTACATAAATATTTGAAGAGCATTTGTAAGATGAATTCTGTACACAGGGAGAATGAAGTACTGAGTTTCACAATATTACATAAATGTTTGAAGAGCATTTCAAAGGTGAATTTTGTAATGTAAAGCACACTTCTATGAGACACACAATTATATATTTTTTACTCATAATATTGGCAACATAGCATTTATGACTTATGGAACATTTGTAAGGAAACACATACATGAACACTGATAATCTATCCATAATCAACAAGATGTCTGTCAAAAGTAACTTTAAACTCACTCAAAGTACTTTTTTGCACCACATCATTCGGCAACTCATTCTACATTTTAATAGCATCGGGAAAGAAGGAAAATTGGAATAAATCTTTTCGAACATACATTGGATGTATGAGTGTCCTGTGCATTGTTCTCGGAAACCTTTTATAAGAGCCCGTTAAATAACCATTCTTATTTACTTCCACCCCTGAATGTAAGGTCTGGAAAAGCATTTTCAACCTCTGTTCGCACAGACTTAATTCTAACGGTTCTAACTTACAGACTTTCAACATTTCAGTTATAGAATCCTTTTTCAGCATGGTGGTCACCCAAAGCAACCGCCCTTTCTTCAATTTTTCCTCTCGAAGCACATGAGCCCTGCGTGTCAGATTTTAAATGGCGTATATTTTTAAAGCATTTGACAATCTGACAAAGATGGCGCTACAAGACAACGTGCTTGCAATTTTTTGGAAAAATAGTCGACTGAATGTTTTTACAAACTATATTAAGCTACAACTTAAGTTTTTACTGGTCATTGGCATAGAGTTTCCTAAATATACACAACAGGGAACTCTATCGCTAGTGTCTATGGGAGCTGCAGTGCATGGTGCTTCAGCGAGCATGGTAATAATGGGCAGTACACGGATTTGTCTAATCTTCGTACTTCTGGCTCCATGTGTGTTCGTGTGCCCTGGAGCTGTTGTTTTGTTTCACGTAACAAAAATCAGCAAATTTTCAGCGGTTGGCTTCACCACCTTATTGTTTTAGGCTTACCAATTCGAATCAGGTCACGAGATTCAAAAAGATGCGTCTTTTTTTTTTTTTTTTCAAAACGAAACGGAATCCAGCAACAAACAAAGCCGCAAGTGCAATTCGCTGCCTGCAAGTACGAAGACCAGGCAAATCTGTGTACTACCCATCATTCCCATGGTCCCTGAATGATCGCAGCGCCAGAGTCCCCTCTAGTTTTTTTAGGAAACTCTATAACGACAACGTTGCACGAACAGAGCCGCATTGCAAAATTTTCCTTCTTTCTTTTTCCGACAAGCACATGCATTTTTGTATTTTCTGTCTCAGGACTCTGACGCTTGAAGTGCAACGGAAGTCCTTGGACGGCTGCAATGAAATCTGGGGACAGCGTTTAAAATGCCGATAGCTGAATATGTGTTGGCAAGAAGCAATCTGTCAAGGTGCAACAGCTACCTTGATTCCACAGATGAATCATGGATATTGGTACATTGCCTTGAATTTCGTACTCTTCTGTGGACGTCACGCGAAAAAATTATTACAGATTTATTTTTACGATATTTCACGAAACTGACATGAGAAATTTATTTACCTGAGGTTACACAAGTGCTAGCCTTGAAACACGAGCTACCAGCAATAAGTGTGTATCTAAGCACGTTTGCTGTTGCATGATCAATAATAATCATAATAGTAATATTAATATAATAATAATAATAATAATAATAATAATAATAATAATAATAATAATAATAATACGGCAGGCTTCTGCCGACGGCAGTACTAGCCTAGACAAACCAGACGGCCTTCAAGCCGAACCAAAATTGTGGCCTAGCCAAACATGCATAAATTTGTAGACGTAATATTGTGGTTCAAAACTCAGATATGCTGTGCAATATGTAGAAGCAACAAACATCAAAATAGTGCATGTACCAACGTGAAACCTAAAGAATGCTTTAGCCAATGTGAAGGACAAGTTGCCAAGCAGGGATTTCCTTGGTCTTGTTTATGCCATAAGTTACCACAATTGTGACAACCAGTACATCATTGACACTGGTGATTTCAAGCAAAGAGCTAAACAATAGAAATATGATGCCAAGAAACAATGCATGGCCTCGACTGTGCTCGCTGAACACGCAGAATCCACAGACCACCAATAGACAAGTCAAACACGTGTGTTATGGACATAGAAAAAACCCGCATGTTTCCACGGAGGGGGGGGGGGGGGCACTCGACTAAATGCGTCACAGAGTGCTGGGGGCTTCGCGTGAATGTTGCATAATTGGACATGGTTTGGGAATGCTTAATTGTTATTTTGTCTTTAATATTCGTATGTATTGAATGAAGGAACAGCGGTGTCTTCAACGAGCGGTGGGACACTGATGTTGGGTTGTGCCCCACTACTGGTTGAAGGTACTGTTACTTCCATCGCATCTACTGAAGTAAGCAAAGCATCAAGTCAAGCGAAAGCCAAGTAAAGACTCCCTTAATTGAATTCTTAACGCAAAATCCAGTGCCTACATATACGGAGTGGTCAGTGAACGATTGTGCAGTGTGAGCAGTCAGATTTTACTAGCAGACGCTGCCTGCGTGAGCCTTGCAAGGCAAGAAAGGGGGGGAGCAACAGTTGGCACAAGACGCGAGCATGCGCACTAGGTGTGTAGACACCACCACCAACGCAGAATTTGCGAGTAGGTGTGACTATAAAATGCTCCTCATTTAAAATAAGCTCGCATCATGCATGCACCTGGAATCCAGATACTGATGACTGTACATACGCTGAACAGGAGTGGTGGGACACTTCTGACAATGTTCTCTCACTGCTTACATCATGTATTTAGGCATACTTAGGTACGCCGTGCATTTCTTATGGCTTTTATTGTAAACAGGGCTCTCTCCCATATTGAATGCCGAAGCGTCAGTAAACTTTGTGTTCCATGAGTCTGTGTATCTTTTCGCGTTTACACTAAAAAGCAACAGTTATGCACTTTCTTTTTTCCCACCTCTTCTAGCAGCTCACTGTAGTTGCAGTTGGAAGAGCAACATTACAAGCTTTGATCAATGGTAATGCTTATTTTGTGGCGGCCGCACAGAACTTCTGTCAGTTTCCATGACCTGGCCAAGTTTTTCAGAAATTCCCCGACTTTTCCAGGTTGGTAGACTCCCTCAGTGCCCCACAAGCAATCATCGAAATCAAGAAATCTTTTATTTAGATTAAGTGCTGCTACGTGAACAGCTTGGACTACAATCAAGCTTCAGCCCCACCGCGATGGTCTAGTAGCTAAGGTACTCAGCTGCTGACCCGCAGGTCGCGGGATCGAATCCCGACTGCGGCGGCTGCGATTCCGATGAAGGCGGTAATGTTGTAGGCCTGTGTGCTCAGATTTGGGTGCACGTTAAAGAACCCCAGGTAGCCAAATTTTCGGAGCCCTCCACTACGGCGTTTCTCATTATCATATGGTGGTTTTGGGATGTTAAACCCCACTTATCAATCATTACAATCATGCTTCAGGTGGTGGTATTGGGCAGTGATCGAATGTCACAGTGACGATTAAATGTTGTCTGGATTACCATATGAGTGATTGTTCCATCAACACATCGACGATTCTGGATTTCGATCGAAAAATATTACCCTAGCCAGAATTAAAATAAAGCGCCCGTGTTACACGGTCTCATTCGTTGGCGAATAAGACTGAAATCTAATAGATATTCCTTAAAGGTGCCATTACAAGCTGTTCTGCAACAGGGAGATCGCGGCCTACTAGTTCCCCGATCGAGCATGATTGCGATGAACGGCGTCTGTGCAACGGCTCGCGATTTGCTCTTTCCACAGAGATTCGAAGTTAGCATCGTGGAAGTCAGGCAGCCCACTGAGTCCTGTGTTTGGCCCCGCCAAGCCATTATGAGACCGCAACGCCGTGTTTGCGCTTGCTGGGACCCCCCCCCCCCCCCTCTTGTCTTTTGCAATGTTTTTTTTTTGCTTTCTTTTGGTGCCCAGAATGGGGGAAAATAATTTAGTGCATCGATTTTACTTAGAGCGGCAAAACATGATTACACTTATCGTTAAAAGCAAATCAATCACAGCTACAAATGAAAAAAAAAAAATGTTGTTACACCTCTCCCCCCTTCCCTGCTCGGGGGTTTTAGGAATTGATTTGTTGCCAGGTTGGTAGGTATGCCTACGGCTCACTCTTTTGATGACGCCACCTCCCCACGTGTCTCCCATGCTCTATCCTGCGCTCAGTGCATGCCAGGTGGGGGGGGGGGGGGTGGTGCCTTAGTTAAAGTTTGCTCGTTTATAGCACCGTTGTTTATTTGAAAATGAAAAAATAAGGCCGTTGTAGGCATGTTGTAAGAAATCGCAAATACCGAATTTGCAATAAATTTGCTATTGCAAAATAGCTTCAGTGTCCCTTTAACCTATGCTCTGTTGAATCAGCAGTATCAATGACCATGACTGAAATAAAAGGCTTCAGTTCAAGTAACTTTGGTTTGAAAGGATATTCGAAGACTAACCTGCCTTATGAAAGAGAAAGTGTTTCCTTTGCCATTAAACTCTCACACTATATGCAAGCAACACTGCACAAAACAGTCCACTGGTATACAAAAGTGTGTCCAGTTACTAGTGCGAGCAGATCAAGTCAGCTGTTTGAGTTTTGTGTAATGCAGGGGTGAAACAGCCGAAGTAGAATTCGGAGTAATTTTCAAAGGAGCAAAATTTCACTTTTGGAGCAGTTTTCAGAAAAAAGAAAACATTCATTGTTAACCACGAAAGACTCAATTTGTAGCCGCATAAAAAAAGGCGTACATTTAGAAAAAAAAAAGTATACACAAACCTTTCAACATCACCTTAATCCTGCAGAGTAAACATGAGCCCTGCTATTTCAATAAAAGTAGTATTTTGAACCACCACATTGAGCAAACAATGATAAAGTCCACGTTAGCATTTGCCGCATCTTTCAAATGCTTTGACAGACTTGGCAAATTCAATGTGGATCTGCCAAGCCGGCAACATTGAAAACCAGGGAATTAATGAAACTGAGGAGTAGGTGTGGCAAAAAAAAATTGCGCACAGTTCTTTTTAGGTGCCAGCAATGTCATACACAGCTCCAAATGATTGCTCGTAACATTTTTTTAGAAGTCAGCAATCATACTTGTACTAGCAATTATATGGCTTATACACACATGAGTAAGCGAACGAAATTAGCTGTGTCCCGTGACGGTGCTAAGAGCCCATTCCAAGTAAATGAAGTTCCCATTATCATCATTAAACGCTTTTCTGTGGGGTACTAGTGTACCGCGGCAAAAGTGGTTTAAGCAGCGTTCTCCATGGGTTAGAGCAAGGCCAAGAAATTTTAGAACACCACTACGCCCCCTCCACCCTCTCTCTCTTTTTTTTTCACGAGGGGGGTGAGGTTTGAGTCCCAACTTCTGAGCTTACATGCAAGAGGGGGTCTAACAGATATAGTATCAACGGCACGCGCCAGTTGATCCGATGACAGCACCAGATATTTATCACCGGGATGACACAAATAACAGACTTAAAGACAGAAAAATGTTTAATGTGCTTTTGCTATGGCAAGCAATGCGGTCGCCGAAAACGCTGGCGTTCACAGCATATCGACCATGCTTGTGTGCGAAAAACGTGGTAATCTCATCCAGCTATAGCTGCTAATATGCCATAGCCATGTTTGCAGACTAGGAAGTTTGTATTTCCTGCGAAGTGTTGGTGGCTACAGCAATGAATTTTTGTCTAGAAGTTGTGTCATCCTGCCGAGCAGTATCCGCTGCCGTCAGCGGACCGATGGGTGTACGGCTTTGCTGGTCGATCTTTAGCTTTAGCTGGTCGATCGCGTCTCACTGACCTAACGGCAACATATCTGACCCCGTGGTTTAGGGTCTGCGCGCTTGGATTGGTTGATGACGCTAACTGCAGGTGACCAACGTTGCTTCTATTTCTCGCTTAATAAGCGCAACTGAGATCAATTTCAGGCTCGTCGGGCATTTTGGCATAATTTCAGCAAATTTCATGGTTTTGGCGCAGCTTGACACAGAAATGGGGATTTGTATCAAATTGGCGCAGCTGTATAACCAACCCCTGGTACTGCCAATCGATTGATACTGCTAATGCCAGGCTCTCCCTGCAACCCAGGCTATATAACAAATCTGGCCTCTCCAACGTTCCCACATGGCCAACGGCCCGCACTGCTACGCCAACCACTGCTTTCCTACTATATTATCACTTCGCTGTCTACAGCGCAGGCACTGATCAATAATAACACTCTTTTACAAAGCTGCCATTCTTGTCCATTACTTGCAAAGAAGAAAAATGGTCTCGCAAACTTAACAAGTATGCAAATACATGGACAAGCACAATGCGTTCAAACAAAGCACACAACTTCAGCCTGGTTGAAGCTATGTGCTCCATCTACCTCTGCCTTGTCCCTTGTTTTTGGTGCTAAGTAGTTATGTCTGCAGTAAATATGCACCAACTATCCCAATTTGCCTATCTAAAAGGTCCATGTTTACACGTATCCAAGTCTTCTGTGTCTTTGTCAGGTTTGCATGCAACCATTTTACACTTTGCAAGTATGAACCAGCTCGCTCAGTGGCAAGCTTTCATGTCGATTAGATGTCCTCAAAAAAAAAAAAGTGTAATTTTCTGTTATTAATATCGTCAACATAATGATGACCTGGAGCGTTGACTTCTTGAGGCGAGTGCCTTGGCAGCTTTCTTCAAACACTTGCTCTGGCACAATCCTTCCTTGCCTTAGTTTACGAGAGACTAGGTTGTCCATGCCACCTGAAGAATAATCAATCAATGAATCAATCAATATAACATATTCAGATAATACAATACAGGTGAATATGCAAGAGAAGGTCCCAAGATTACTAGCTGTAGTAAAGGAGTTGGCAACACCCAAGAGAAATTAATAAAGCAAATGTAGGGTAACCAAAAAAATGCCTTCCATTTGTTACGTATCAAAAAAAAAAAAAAGAAAACACTTCTGTGATTACTTATTAAATACAAAAATTTGAAGTTCAAGCTAGTCAAGATTTATGCGACAAATAAAACATGTTTATATTTCACTTAAAATCTTTTTTTTCCCACTTATTTCAGTGAAGTGTATATTACATAATAAGATGCATGAGTAAACGATACTCACTCTTTCCTAATCATTATGTACTTTAGGGAGCAACGAAAGCTCAAATAGTGCAAGCTACTGATTTTCGGAACTTCTCATGCCAACTAAGGTTATTAATGAATAAGAAAACAATAAAATAACGAAGTTGCCAAGGCTCGACAAGACACCTGTGCCATGCGGCCACATATGATAATGATTGAGCCTGATCGAAATTGACTTTTCTGATCACGATTGACTCTTTTATGCAAACTCCGGAAGGGAGCTAAGCAGTGCATACAAACTTGATTCCGATGGAGCTTCGCAGCAATCAGCAGTGAACCATGTCACACTGGTGGAAAACCTCAAAAAACATGATATCTGTTTATCTGCGTAAAATATCGCAGATAAACAACAATAAATAGTCAGTGCTCAACAGTATGCAAGTACAGTGATGGAAGTGACATTTTGCTTTTTGGAGCCGATTATGGAACAGAAAAAATGGTGCTTTGGAGCAGGCTCAAGTGTCTTTGGGGCAGCTTGAGTGTTATTCTATTGGTGTTTTTGGAGCAGATGCATGTTTACAAAAACTCCTGAAGTCTAAAACATCATGTAAGCATCTAATAAATATTTATATTTATTATTAAACATGCTGTATGGTAGTATGCAGCTAGTGTGCAAGCAGTATAGTTGGCGTAGATCATTGGAGGTCAATAGAGTCTGGACTTTCCTGATGTTCAGGCTGTGGAGCACACCCCTTGCAAGTGTCCCACTCGAGATATAGCTTTAGCACATGATATAACTGAATCAACAGTTAAGTATAGCACAATTAGCTTTTTAAGAGGCATTTTACCTTTTACTGCATACCTGTGTTAAATGCTCTCAGCTGTGTGAACTATAGACATCGAAAAAAGGTGAAAAAAAAAAGAGACTGAACGAAACAATGCAATTGCTAGAGCTCAAACCCCATGCTCAATTTTTTTTAATTTTATTGGAAAGCACGATTTAATTCCTATATAAATAAAAATACAAGATACGTATTGGAGACCATGGCCTGATATGTGTCACCCCTTGAAATTTTTCTGGGTTTACGCCACTGAGTAGCATACTAGGATGATAGTGTATACAGCTTGCTTTTGGCTTCACTTAGGCTCACAGAATGGTTCCATGGTTCAACTTCATTCTCTTTAGTTTGCCAATACCACTTTGGAGCAGGTTTCAAGCAGTTACCAGTAAACATTGCACATTAGAGCAGTATTTCTCTTTTGGAGCAGTTTGGAGCAGCACTTCCACCTTTGCAAGTATTTATTTGGCACCTCTTCTCATCATGCCAGCAGTGGTTGCAACTTTAGCTTAATATTGACGCGTGTGTACTGGTGAACCAAAACGACGATAAGGGGATTTGGCGGGCACCAGGTAGTGGAGCTCTGGCTGATTGAAGATAAAGAAGGCGACCTTGCTGTTCGGCTGCTGAGAGTCGCTGTGTCGACGTTTTATCTGCCTTTGGTTCGCGCTGTACCGCGACACTGGTGGAAGTACTGGGACGCAACCCTACCTAATGCTCCATGCTCCCACTGAGAGCCGTTCATCTACCTCGGACGCATTGTCACCCATTGCAACTCCCGTGCACCGGTTCAGTCGGCGGCTGATAGGCCTCGCTCCAGAGTTCACGCCTTCCACAGAACCTCGCAAGTGCCGATTACCTCTCCAAATGGCCAACGTCAGTCCGCAAACGGTGCCCCAAGGCTCCCCGCCAACACAGCCTTCACAGGTAACCATCTTTCAACCGCTGGTTCCCTATCACTTTAGTGGCGGTGCCCATGAAGACGTGGACGACTGGCTTGAGCACTACGAGCGTGTCGCCAAGATTAATCTGTGGCCTGAACAAGAAAAGCTCTCACGCGCCTATTTCTACCTTGATGGCGGTGCGAAAATTTGGTATGAAAACAGAGAAGCCAGTCTGTTAACTTGGGGTGACTTCCGACAACAGCTTGTCGATACGTTCACCAATGTCGATCGACGCGACCGTGCGCAGCAGCTGTTGGAGCTACGGGTTCAAAAACCCAATGAAAGCGTTACTATGTTTGCTGAAGATATGACTCGTCTTTTTCGTCGAGCTGACCCGAACATGAGTGAAGATAGGAAGTTCAGCTACCTCATGCGCGGCGTTAAGGAGCAACTTTTCGCCGGGCTAATGTGCCACCCTCCAAGTACCGTAGTTGACTTCATCAAGGAGGCTACGGCTATCGAGCGGGCGCTCCATCAACGATGCAGGCAGTATCATCGAATGTCTAGCAGCGCCCCAATCAATGCTGCCGCCATACCTGAGGATCAAAGCTCCCTGCGAGACCTCATTAGGGAGATAGTTCGCGAAGAACTGCAAAAGTTCCGGAATCCAGTTGCTCAAACCCCCGTTGCATCCGTCGCTGAACTGGTACGTGACGAAATCCGCCACGCATTTTCTACCGCTAGTCCTGGTGACGAGCACGGTCCCATGAGCTCTGCCGATGCTCTGCGACGTTCACCATCTGGTACATCGCTGCCATATCACCCAGTGCCGACGCCCCCTTGGTCATCGCGGCAAGAGCAGACCCTAAGCCGACCGCCAAGCCAACCGACGTACCACCAGGCGTCCACAGCAGCACCATGGACATCGTCGCAAGAAGGGAGGCTCAGACGTCCACCGCTCCGAAGAACAGACGCATGGCGCACAATCGATCGACGTCCACTAGGCTTTAACTGCGGAGGTGCAGGTCATATTGCCCGTCATTGCTGGCACCGCAGTGATTCGTTCCGCCCTCTTCGAACATGGTCTGACAATCGACGTGCGAACGGAGAATACATACCACGTTGGGAGGACGACTCTTTCCATGGAGCCCGTTCTCACGTTTACGAATACCGTACTTCTGACGAGGAGGCAATACCTACCCGCCAGCCAGGTTTGGGACGTCAATCCCGCTCTCCTTCTCCCGCTCATTTACCTTCGTCCCACCGACGTACCTCCGCGGACCTTAACGCAAGAAGGTCACCCAGCCCGCGATGGGGAAACTGAGGGCGGTGACCTCCGGGGGTAGGGTTGCAGGCCATGAAGATGACGACGAAAAGCCCCCATTACACGACGCTGTAAATCCGACAAGACGTGAGAGCGACGACATTGTGACCGCTGACCTGAGTGTTATTCTTGACGGCCAGAAAGTAACAGCCTTAGTGGACACCGGTGCCGACTTTTCTATCATCAGTCAGGACCTCGCCATCCGCCTCAAGAAAGTGAAGACACCGTGGACAGGCCCTCAAATAAGGACGGCAGGTGGTCAGTTATTGATGCCCCATGGAAGATGCACAGCGAGAATTGACATAAAATGTTCTTCTTTCGTTGCCTCGTTCGTCGTTCTCGCCGCATGCTGCAAGGATCTAATTATTGGTATGGACTTCTTACGAGAGTACGGCGCCGTCATCAATATCCCAGACAGTTTGATGACATTCCGCAACAGTTCGGGCGCACCTGATTGTACACAGGCGCAACCAAACCAATTGCGTCTAACTGATGAGGATGTGGTTCTCCCTCCTCGGTCATGTACGCTTGTTTCTGTGGCAGCCGCTGTCTAGTTTGACGGCGAAGGAGTAGCAGACCGAATAACCTCGCTCCTCTTCACACACGGCATTTCCGTCGCAAGAGGTATCGTCAATATCGCCGCTGGACGCACGGACTTGCTTCTGACAAATTTTAGTGATGAGCGCCGGCACCTTCCAAAAGGCATGACCGTCGCTTACTTCGACGATATCGCGGACGCAGAAGGCTGCTTGGCAGTAGTCGACGAGGCGCCAAAACTTTATTTGACACCAGTTCTTGAAGTTAGCACTACTTTGCCCAAGAACGAGCGAAAGGGGCTTCTTGAGCTACTGGCTGAATTCAAAGACTGCTTTTCGACAACATCAAGAGTTGGCCGCACGCCTCTAACCAAGCATCGGATAATTACCGAGGACATGGCGAGACCAATTCACCAAAACCCCTATCGCGTGGCTGCAAAGGAACGCAAAGTGATACAAGAGCAAGTCAACAAAATGCTAGAAGATGACGTCATTCAGCCCTCAAAAAGCCCCTGGGCGTCACCTGTAGTACTCGTTAAAAAAAAAGATGGCAGCCTGCACTTCTGTGTAGATTACCGAAAACTCAATTAGGTGACAAAGAGAGACGTGTATCCACTTCCTCGTATAGATGACTCTCTCGACAGACTTCGACATGCTCGTTACTTTTCATCGATGGACTTAAGGAGTGGGTATTGGCAAATCGAGGTAGACCCAAGAGACCGCGAGAAGACTGCTTTTGTGACACCAGATGGCTTATATGAATTTAAAGTGTTGCCCTTTGGTTTATGTTCAGCGCCTGCTACCTTTCAAAGACTTATGGATACCGAACTTTCTGGGTTGAAGTGGAAAACCTGCTCGGTCTACCTTGATTATGTCGTAGTTTTCGCCGCAACATTTGACCAGCATCTTAAAAGACTTGAGGCAGTTTTACAAGCCATACGGTCTGCGGGCTTGACGTTGAAGCCTGAAAAGTGCCACTTTTGCTATGAAGAGCTGCAATTTCTTGGCCACGTTGTCAGTCACGCAGGCGTTCGTCCTGATCCTGAAAAGATCGCAGCTGTTGCACAGTTCCCTGTGCCG